CACAATTTTCGAAATTACATTATCGAGTTTTGCTATCTCGAGCAGTAAAAGGCGGACGTGAGAAGGAAGGCCTGGCTGCCGCCACCGTCCTTCGTCCTGCTGGCACTCAGACGACGAGTGTTGCCCATCTACTTCGAGGACACGAAATTTTAGCAGATGATGCCTTTTATGCCGATTACTTTCCGCTCGATAGCCGTCATCAAGATTTGTACTTTCGTATCCGTCGTCGTCCGATAGGCAATCTCTGCGTGCTGTGCGGACCTGCCTTACTGATACGAGCCCAAGAGCAAAGACCAGGCTTCGGAGGGGCCGGTTGTAGTTTTGGCCGGTTTTGGCGGATCGCCGTGAGCGTGAGGGGAAGGGGCGCCGACACCGGCGGCACCGACACGTGCGTGTAGTGTAACAACAGCTATAACCCGACCGGTCCCGCCTGCGTGGCGGGGCGTGGCGGGTGGCGGGGCGTGGCGTGGCCGCGCGGTCAAGGTCGCGATTGTTCCCACGCTCTGACACCACGTATTCTGTGACCACGGCCACTGCCACGCCTGAACAGTGCGGTGCGGAAGGTCTCGACTCTCCACCACGGAGACATTTGGCATTTCGATTCACAGTTGACGCGGAACGCTGAAACTAACGGAGTGTAATAAAAACTCTGTTATTTTGTTTACGGAACGTCACTGTCACTACTCCCTGTCATCGGCGCGTCGCGCCGGGCGTCACCAAGGCCAGCCAGGGCCTCATGCAAACTCACTCGCCCAAATAAAATAACCATGAAAATTTTTCGAGCAATCCGCGCCGCTCTGGCTCGGGGTCACCCCTCACTCACTCCCTTGTCATCCCCTTCCACTCGGTTCTCTCTACGGTGACGGTGACGCTCGCTCCATATTCATCCGTCCGCGCTTTATTCTCCACAGCTTCACAAGAGTCGATGGTCGTGGTACCACCACGTAACTGCGAAGGTAAACCAAATACTGTGAACTTGCAACCGTGTTAAACCCGGCGCCAGCCCGGTATGCGTCGATGAGGAATGGCAACTTTTGTTCTCGGCGCCGCCGTCGTCTCTGTCGTCTCCGTCGCGACTGCTCCGCTGCATCGGTATTGTCACACACACCTCGGGTCGCTTTGTGCCGTCCTGGCGGGGGAGGCCCCCGACGTGACGGTGAGTCAGCGGCCCAACAAAGGCTCGGGCGGGGAGTCTCGACGTGCAGCGAAGCGTCGTCTGGATCTGGATTCAGCAGAGGTTGTCGCGGGCTCAGGACCCCAGGCGGGCCGTGACGCCGCGGCGCGGACGTCAACCCCTATCGAACCCACTGTTGTTGCACATCACCTCATGAGGTGCAGGCGCGCGCACGGCCGTAGGCTGACATGAGGAGAAAAGACCAGAGAAACGAGACCAGCGGAGCAGCGGTCGTCTTGGAGAGCACCTTCGGAGTCGGAGTTGGACTCGGACTGATGATCCTTTACGATACGCGTCGGGCTCGGGCTTCCGCGTTGTGGGGGGCAGAGACGCTCGGTGCTCCTGGCCTGCTACGCGCTGCAGCGCTGGCACGCGTCCAGGAGGTGCTCCCCGGGCGGCGGGCGGGCCGCAGCCACGCCGACGCCACGTGACGGTGCGTCGTGCTGCGCCCCGCGAGCTCGCCGAGCACCTGCCCGCGGTCGCGGTACACAGAAGAGAGACGTGACCACACTGTGATGGCGGTCCGTTGGACGACGTTGCACGCCACAACCCTTGCACTACTACTCACTTCGAGGTGTCAGCCCGTTGTCGCAGGTCAAGCTCTGGACGCGCGACAGAGTAAATATTGTTCCGTTACATTGGACGATAAGTCTGACGGCCGCGCGGATCGCCCGCGGCCCGCGCGCCTATATGTGTTTCCCTGATGGGAGTGTTCGACCGACCTCGGTCGGAGGGCTATCGTTTGCCCAGCACGAGACGGACAACACTTTATATATGTGACACTGACACTGTGTGTTGTCCTTCGCGGCCAAAAGTGGTACGATGTTTGGCTAACTCCGTAGGGCGTGAAGGCCGGGGCTGGGCTACTCCTCACGGCCCTGCCCTGCTCGGGCCTTGCGCCCAGTTGCTACCCCCGCCGCCCCTCTGCGGCCACAGGCCGGACAAACCCCACGAGGGTAACCCTATAGCTGTTTGCGCTGGTCTTCCTGTTTGCTGCCACGCCCCGCTCAGTATGGCGAATGTCACGACAGCGCAGGTCGCGGGTCAGGCCGCGCCGCGCCGCCTCCTGGACCACGGCGCTGAGCGGCCTGGGCGTGCGGTCGTGCGCTCGCGGCTCTCTGCAGGTCCCGCGGTCACCCCCC